CTGCGCCCTCCCGCCTCGGGCTGCTGCTGCTGCTGCTCCTGTGCCCCGCACACGTCGGAGGACTGTGGTGGTGAGTGCTCGCGGGGCTGTGCAGGGGCTCGAGGGCTGGACACCGGCGCTGGGTGGGGGTTCCGTGCGGAGCCGGGCTGCTGCAGGCTCTACCTGCGCGCGGGGCCAGGCGCGGGGCCAGGCGCGTGCCGCTCCCCTCCCGGCGTCTGCCAAAGGCGCTCCTGAACTACCACTTGGATTCTCCCAACCCCAGGGCAGAGCCAGCGAGCATTCGATTGTGCCCCCTGCCCCTGCCTGTTACGCGCTCAATCCAGGTGGGAGAGAACAGGGAGCCCTCGGAAACTCTACAGTCAGAGAGGAGAAGAAAGAAGTGTGTGATGAGAGCCCTAGAATCAGGGGAGGGGACTGGACTTGAGGAAAGAGAGGCACAAGGTGAGAAGATGCTAGGCTGGAGGGACAAACTGCCGCCCCCTCCCCAACCCACCAGCTTCTCTCCCAGCTCCTTCGAAGCTGGCGCTGGTGACAGGAAAGGGAATGCAAAGGGGAAACTGAGTCAGGCCTCTGGCTTTACCTGCTCCTCACCGAGCAAAGCAGAGGAGAAATGCCAGGAAAGAGACCCAGGCCCCAGACCCCAGGCCCTTTCAGACTTGGGGGCCAAGGACTAAAAGTGTGCAGCCCGGGAGGTACCAGACCTGGGAGGGGTCTGATAGAAAGGAGGGAGGCTTGGCCAGCTGAGGGACTGGGGCGTCTTCTCAGAGCCATTCTGTGGACCTGGCCCTAGTCCTCCGGAGCAGACACACGCCTAGGCAGCAGAGGTTGCGGGAGCACTAAGCCTTAGGGGCGGGAACGTGGAAGCCGCGCTGAAACCGCTCAAAGACCGGATCCCAAAGATTTACTCCCCACCCCACCCCCGCTGCGTGTCTCCAGAGCCTCAGAGACCCGCCCGGAATAGCTCAGAGTTTGGAAAGGAGGTACTAGGACAATAGAGCGAATGGATCAGCCAATCCTAAGAAGGCAGGGTCTTGTCTTTTTGCATATCACGACGTCATTGGCTGAATTCTGTACCCTGTACTCCTCCGCCCCCGGATTTGGAAGGCGGGTGGGACAGACAGACCCCTGTCCTCTGGGGAGATAGCGAGCAGGATGCCCACACAGGGAGCTGATGGCCGCGGTCCCTCTTTCGAGATGCAGGGGAGACGCCCCTCGGGGGTGCCAGCGAGAGGGGAAATCGCGGACGCCCCGGGTGTCGGCTAGGGACCATACACCCTTTAATCTTGGTTTAGCATAATGCAGTTACAGCTTTGAAACCATAAGGTCCGAGAGGTAACCTTGGGCAATGTCTTAACTGTAAAGTTGGGATACCAGGCTCCCTACCTAGCAGACGCGCTTGGACAATTAAGTGGGATGACGTACAATGACCTGACATTAGGAGGTACTCAAAAGTCCTTCTCTGATGCTCCTGATCAGGATCCCCCCCCCCCAGGTGAAAAGGGGAATTAATTAAAGTGTGAAACCCAAGGTCCCAAGTAAAACTTTCTCAAGGGCTCTCCGGACACCTCTCCTGTCTCTGCCCTTTCTTTTGGTAGCTCCTTGGTTTCCATGTGTTTAAATTGTTCCCGTCCATCCAGCTCAAACACCACTTCCTCTAGGAAGCTCTCTCCTCCCTCAAGGCCTGCCTTCTCTGTGCTCCCATTGCGTTCTGTGCGCCAGGCAACGATGCCAATTACTGTAGCTTACTGATGAACCATCTTCCCTTGGGTCTTTCCTCCCTACTCAGTTTGAGCATCTGGAAGTAAGAAGCTTTGTCTTTAGAGCCCCAAGACACCCCCCGCCCCAGACAGAGTAGGTGCTGGGGGTAGATTTGTTGAATGTTGCTTAGTTGGTTGGCTCTCCTTTCTGGGGTTTGTACTCATGGGGGTTCCTTAGTCCAGGAAGGGCTGCTGGGTGGGAGCCAAGCAGTGGGAGAGAAGCCTGGTCTTGAGAAATGACCCTGAAGCTAGGAAACAGGGAGTGGGGGAGGAGGTGAGGAGGGCAGGTGTGGGAGAACACAGGGGCCTTCATGGCCACAGCTGCGGGGGGGCGGGGGGAGAGCCGGGTGAAGAGTGAGGGCCTGGGGTGATAAGGTGTCCACCCTCAGAGAAGCTACCTCTCCCGCCCACCCGGCCCCCCTCACTCTCTCTGTGTCTTCATTCCTTTGGTCCGAGGAGACCAGACTCCCTTTCAGGGTCTGTGACTCTGCTCACACTCTTGTCTTCACCCCACCCCACTTTGGCCCTCCTACCACTGCTCCTTCCCCATCCTCACTTCAGCGAGGAGCTTTCAAGCCTGGGGCCTGCAGGCTATTTCCTGATGTCTAGGACCTGCTTGCTGGCCCCTTCTCCCTGCTTCTCAGGAATGCTGGCCAGGCTGGAGCTCCATGATGGCCAGGAAAATAGGTGCACCTGCAACAGCCTAGTACAGCCCACTCTGAAATTCTAGCAATAGACAGGCTGGGACCAGAGAGGATCCCAGGACCTCCTGTAGGAGAGGAGACTCCTGGAGGGGGGTGGTCAGGCACTAGAATCAGCTCAGGGACCTAGATCCGGGTTCCAGAGAAGTTTCCTCTCACCTTCTTTCCTCCTCCCCCTCTTTCCCCAAATACCTGCTTTCTAAACTCTGCCTCAGGGCCTCTCTGTCTGTCTCCCTCCCATCTGTAACCGTATCTTTGTGAATCACAGATTCTAGGACATTGGCCAGGCCTTCTTGAGGTCAGTTTGTCCAGCTTACTGCCTCCAGGCCATCAGGCCTATCCTCTGGCCCTGACAGAGCCCCACTGAAGTGTGAGGAGGAGAGGGAGAGGCTGTGACTTCCTGGTCACTAGCTCCCACCCCTTCCACCTTGTTCCCTGCCCCCCCCAGTCCCCCCTAAGAAATTCTTCTCAATGTCTGTCCCATCTTTATTTATACCTTCAATCAGTGGATGTAGAAAATAGCTCACTCTCCCAGAATAGCTAACTCAATCTCTCTTCCTCTCTCTTCTTTCTGTTTTATATATTCTGTGAAAGAAACTAACCTTTCCCCTTGCTCCACTAGGAAAAACACAACCCAATCTCACCCTCACTCCCTTCCCCCCTCCCATCTTGCATTTGCCACCCCCCCCCCACTTCACTTATGGAGAAGAAACAGGAGCAGAAGCCCAGGACAGCCTCCTCTCTGGCTCCATGGGGTGGGAGGGAGAGAGGGAGGGAGAGAGGGAAAGGACTCAGGCTTCCTCCAGACACCAAGGTTTTCCAGCTGCCGCCCCACTCCAGTCTGGGCTTGGCCACCCTTTCCTATCTTGTCTTTCTCTGGGGCCCCTGGCAATCTGTGGGCAGTCCTGTTGCTGGGCCCTGCTGAGTTCAGGGTGGAGTGGGGTGGGGTGGGGGGGGGGGGGGGGTGGCCATCCATTCCCCCCTCCAGGCCTCCCGCCTTGGCAGCTTCCCCTAGAGGGAGACAATGGGGCTGTGAGCAGAAAAGGGCAGGGGCAAAGGAGGCTGGCGCAATCCGGCCCAGAGCGTGCCCTGAGCCCACCCGAGTCCTGGCACTGTGTCATTTCCTGGGGGGTGCGGCACCCTCCTGCCCCATTCTCATCGGAAATCAGGAGTTGGGTGGAGGAGGGGAGGCAGTAGGAGGCTTGATCATCAGGGCCCACCGAGGGGGATTCCAGAATATGCACTTTGATGGGGAAATGAAGCTGCGAGGGGATGAGGCAAGGGTGGGGCGGGCATCTGGCTGTGGTCAGGCTGGCAGTGGGCGTGCCTGGCCAGCCCTGGCCAGCCCTCAACTGAAGGAGAGCAGGAGGTACCAGGGGAAGTGAAATCTGTCCTCTGGCAACTGAGGAGAGCGCCCTCTAGCTGTGGCTGTGCCTGGCTTCCTGCTAAGGGCTGAGCCAGACCTTGGGTGCCTCCCCTGGCTGGCCGAAGGGAGGAGATGAGGGACAGAAATGTGGCTGGAGGGCTCCTCTCCCCTTCTCCACCTGGCCTCTTTGGCTGCTTCCTTCAACTCTGAGCCCTCAGTTTAATCCAGAAATTAGACCTAGAAGGGCCTTCGAGATCATCTGGTCCAATTTTCTCACTTTACGGTGAGGGCACCAAGGCCCAGGGACAGGAGGTGACTTGTCCAAGGCCACCCAGAATGCTG